AGACATCAATGTTTTTGGACAATGTTGCTCGGTATTTTTCAGTAAATTTTTTCATACTTGAACGGTATAATTCAAGAACAAAGGCGCGGTCACACTAGTTTTGCAGGCGTTTGTGTTTTATTTTTTTTAATCACGAAATTAAGCATTATAAGCAACTTGCATAGGCTTAACCCGTTGCCAAGCCACTCAGCTAGCGTCGAAGCCAACGAATACAATGGGGTAAGGTCGGTTGGCCGGGCAAATCGGCCCCAAACTCGCCATTTTCGGTGTGGGAAAAATCGACGCCGTACTAGCTGCCATCTCTGCCTGTGTTGTAGTTGTTGGCGTTCTGTGTGTAGCGGGGCGGCGTAAATATGTACATAAACACACACGCACACGCGTGGGCAGGCCAATTATGTGGGTGCGAAGGTGTGCAGTGTGCAGGTGTGCAGGTGTGGGTGTTTTCCGCTTGAGAATCAAGAAATCAAAAGCAAGGCTGCCGAAAAGGCTTAGCCCATAATGCAATTTAGTCGGCGGTCGCCAGTCGCCAGCGATAACAGTGCCCTGTGCAATTTTGTACAGATTGTGAACGAGCTGGCTGCAATTGTCCACCAGGGAAAATGTCGGCGGAAGGGTAACAGATAATATAGTATTTAGGCACTATAAATCCGGAGGACTAACGAATATCCCCAATAGTTCAATCGCGAATTCTTCAGTACAAAAGGGAAAATGTGTTATTCAACCATATAAGATCGCGAGTTCTTTAGTACTTGATTATGTGCAAACGAAGCTGTCAGTTTTAGTCATTTAAAGCCTTAAGCGTAGTATAAATATATCAAAGCCACAAACAAATTAAAAAAAAAAGAACTCTTTGATTTAAAAGCGTTTAACAAGGACGTTAATTTAAATTTAAAGTAAAATAGCATACATACTAAAACTAGGTTTTCACATTAAACAGAACTAAACATTTTGAAGAGGATGTGTAACCAATTATACGCTAATCATTCGACCCCCTACCATTCCATAGTTTACTTACCCAACCACACACACACAGGGCTCAACCAGTTATTACCTCCTCGAAATGGAATTTTAAATTAATCACACCCCGGCCAATATAATCATAATCCCTTTATGACCCACAGCGAGCAACCGATTTTCACCTGCCAGGCGCATGTCTTCCACATCGACCCGAAGACGAAGCGCACCTGGATCACGGCCAGCATGAAGGCGGTCAACGTGAGCTTCTTCTACGACAGCTCGAGGAATCTGTACCGCATCATCAGCGTCGAGGGCACCAAGGCGGTGATCAACTCGACGATCACGCCCAACATGACCTTCACCCAGACCTCGCAGAAGTTCGGACAGTGGAGCGATGTGCGGGCAAACACGGTGTACGGCTTGGGATTCGCTTCCGAGGCGGAGCTCACCAAGGTGGGTGGCTAGTCCATATATACCGCACTACCTGTACGCCTGACTAATCACTCTGCTTTCACAGTTCGTTGAGAAGTTCCAAGAGGTCAAGGAGGCAACCAAGAACGCCATGAAGTCGGCCAATGGCTCCAATGCCGTCACGCCCACCACCTCGGCCAATACGTCGCCCATTTCCGGGCGTGCTGTAGGCTCCATGCAGAACGACAACACAGCCATAGATCCGCACACCGTGGAGCCGCCCAACCTGAGCAACACGAACACGCAGAACGCCAATCCGGACAGCCCCTCCCACAAGCTCCTGAGCACCAGCGATGTCAAGCCGGACATCGGATCGGCCACCCCCCTCGCCGCAGCCCACTTCAGGCGGACCTGCAGGTGGCGGCGGCGGCGGCGGAGTGACCATCTCGTCGGGCGGCAGCATTGTGGGCATGCACACGGGGCCGGGGGCGGGTGCCACGGCCGAACAGCAGCTGAAGTACGAGAACGAGCGCCTGAAAATGGCCCTGGCACAAAGGTGGGTTACGCAAAGGTGATCCTAGGATCTGGACTAACGGTTCTTCCCTTTCCTTTCAGCTGCGCCAATGCCAAAAAATGGGAAATCGAGCTGGCCACCCTGAAGAACAACAATATTCGACTTACCAGCGCCCTTCAGGTAGGCTAATCGTTTCTAAAGTTCATGAACAAAATATATTGGGAATAGCTTAATGATACCCACTAGTTTTGAATTCTAGACCCTGGACTTACATGCCATATTCTATATTTTTATACAAACGCAAATTGTGTAAATGACCCAATATCTATAACCCGTTCAATGTTTAATTCTGTGAAATCGTTGCACTTATAAGACAAATTTGATAGTATGAGCATTTTCCACCAGTTTCTACTTATAAAAGTGTACAATTTTGCAATTTATAAATGTAGGTATTTCTATCAAAATAAATAGGACTAGGATATAGTAACTTAGCTTGTAAGTTGACAAAATTACGATACAAACAAAACGAAAACAGTGAAACCAGTTTAAGTTCTTACATCTTTTTATTTTCTATTAATATTATTAGTATCATAGCTATATAGTTTTTCTGACCGACAGGGATCATAATCCTGAATAAATAAATTTTTTTTTGTCTGAACTGCGTAAAATAATACAATTTTAACATAAAAACATTCCACCTTCTTTCTTTATTTGCAAGGAATCAACTGCCAATGTGGACGAATGGAAGCGCCAGCTACACACTTACAAGGAGGAGAATATTCGCCTCAAGAGGGACATGGAGCAGATTTGTGTGGGCGGAGGAGGCGTGGGAGCTGCGGCCGGAGGGGGAGGCGCCGCGGAAGACGAGTTGCGTCGTGAGGTGGCCACACTCAAGGCGCGAACGGAACAACTGCAGAAGGAACTCTTGCAACAGGAAATAGAGCTTAAGTCGGCCAACCTTAGTCTTCGCGAAAAGTCCAATGATCAGACGGTGAGCTAATCCATAACCATGACTTAGAAAGGTTAAACGCTTATTTAACAGATATGGTCAGAGTTTAATATAAGAAACTATATCCAACAGCTGTTTTAAAAGCATTTACGTTTAAATTCACATTAGTTCTGTTACATTAATTTAAGATGAGCAATTATTTCTGTAGCTGCTTGCCGTAAATGTTTGTGATTTAATTTAACTTTTACTTACATCATATACCTCACCTTTATTTGCGAAATTAATCACTATATCCCCTTTCCAGCTGGCCAAACTGAGCGAGTTAAACGTGGTGTTCGCCAAGCATCTGTCGGAGCTGTATGGGGTGCAGAAGGATATGGAGAGTGTTGTACAGCAGGCAAAGTGCACTTGAGACACAGAGTTGGTGGCTATGCGAAAGGTGCGGTGACTGTTGCCTTTGACTATCGCTGTGCTAACTGATCTCCTTTCCAGGTTTCAGCGCAGGAACAGACTACAATGATAAACACTACAACGACATCATCGACAACAACAGGAAGCACGACTAGCAAACGATATTTGAGCAACTTTCCAACCGCCGAGGCCGAGAGCACGCTCTCCAACGTCACCTCGATCCACACCCAGCTGCAGTCGTCGCTCTACGAGACCCAGAATTCGGCTCAGCTGAAGGCCTTAGACAAACACTCTGCGCTGCTCCAGGAGCTGCATCAGCGGCAGGCGGCTCCCAGGCGCCTCTCCGTCTCCGCTGAAGCGGCTGCTGCAGCTGCAGCTGCGTCCGGTTCTGGTGGGGCCAAAACTGCCACCATACTCGTTTCTAAATCAAAAACCAAAACCGGGCTGCCCCTGTTGCTGAAGAATTCCATTAACAATTAGAGTTAATTCCAGAGAAGGACGACCAGTGAGAGAATTTAGTCAGTGGCATTTTTGTAATCTTTATAATGATAGTTTGTATACAAGGACAGCGCTAGAGAGAAACCTCGTACTCCCTCAATCTCCCCATCCCTCCTCGTTTTAGGCCCATATTTGTCATTTGTGTGTCGTAACGTCTTTTGGTATCTTCGGATCGAAAACAGAATAAACCTATGCCCAGTATTTTCGTCAAAATTGTTCGCGTCCTTGAGACACGTATGTAGGTCTTAATCGATTGATTCTCGTGCGCATTTTAGTGCAATATACATTTATCTCTAGCATATAAATGTAACGATGATATTATGTGCTCTGTACACTTTCAGCTGATTGTTAATTAATTTTTAATGAGAGCTTGCTAACGAATACTCCCCGAAACTCATTTCCCAAAGAAAAATCAAAGCATTTCTATCGATCAAGTGTCACAAAGATTATTTTGTAAATGTTCTCGAACTTTTTATAGTATTTTTAGAAGGAACCTTTTGTATTCAACAAATCCTAGGCGTAAAATTTGAATGGTTATTTATTGAATTGTATTTCGACCCCATCCGACTTCAAAGCCCCATCACTAGGCTCCCATTTATTGCAGTTATGCACTGATTTACTAACATTATATATAATATTTATAAACATAAAAAATAACGTATGCATAACTAACAATGACTTAGACGACGAACACATGATGAAACCAGTATTGAAGATGAAGCTAAAATAAAGTAAACGAAGAGAGAATTTTATAAATGGAACGAAGTCCAAGTAAAACACGAGACTAGCAAAGTAAATTTAAAACAAAAACCAGTCAAGTATGTGCATCAGTGGACACCTAGTTTAATGCATTAAACAAATATTAACATTAATTTATATGTATCGAAACGAATAAAAATCGCAACCCGAGGGAAACCAGCAAGTAACAAATAACAGAACACAATCTCTAAAACACAAACCCCACTAAACGAAATGATTATGAAGCGGTAATTTCGAACGTTTGCGGTTATATTCAAGCCATATTGTTATGCAATCGCTGCATAAATTACCCAGTTGAGAACAAATAAGAATTAATAACGAAAATGAAATGTTGAACATACAAATTTAGCAGTTAAAAGTAAACAACAAATGAAAATATACATAAACAAATATATAAAATAAACTAAAGTCAGATTTCAAGTTGTTTTTCTTTCATTTTAAATGAGTTATTTCGTAGCTTCGTTATCTGGTGTCAAGCTTTAGACTAAAACAAAATCTTCATCACATTTAATAGACTTTATTCTTATTTAAAAACTTCATATACCAATTACTGTTTTACTACTCTTACATATTCTCTACACAAATAATGATTTGTACAACTCGGACTTGGAGCTCTCCGTCCAGTCGCTATTTTCGTTGGGTGCCATGAAGTTGATGAGTTTGTTGTGAACCACATATCTAAAGGTTGTGATTAAATTCCGATCAGTAAGACATAGTATGTATAAACAGATAAGAGGTTAATTTAATTTACTTACCGCAGTTTCCGACCTTTGCTGGCCCTGGTGTCCACCTTCTTCTTCATCTTCTGGCGCAGCTTCTGCAGCTCCACGAACTGCTTGGTAATCTCGCTCATGTTGGACGACGTGCTGGCCTTGTACTCGATGAGCTCGCGAAGCTGCTGGTGATAGAAGTCGCTGTCGTCGTAGATGTGCTTCAATCGCTGCACCGGCTCGTTCTCCTGCTGGCTGCTCTTCGGCATCTGCGACTTCTCCACGAGCGCCTCCCGGTTCGCCAGGGCACTGTCGATCTTCTTGACGATGTCGTAGTCCTCCTGCAGGGACTTGCGCTTCACACCCGCTCCGGGGGTCAGGAGTTTGGTGCGATCGTCCCACTTGAGCAGAACTTCGTTGCGGTAGCCGGTCATCTGCTGGAAGTTGTGCTGCAGCACAGAGCCAAATCGCTTCGCAGCAGTTGGTCCCGGATCCTCTGAAGGCTGCTTGCGCTTCACCGATTTCCTCATCTCGGAGTTTTGCTGGTGGAGCGCCGACTGGAGGGCCAGCAGTTGCTGCAGAAGCCTGGTCGAGCGCTCCTGGGCCTCGTTTAGCACCGACTGCAGCTCGTCGTTGTCGGAACCCAGTTGCTGGAGTGTCTCCGGTCCAGGCAACTGGTTTGCCTTGCTGGTGAACTTCTGGGTGTTGATCCTCAGCTCAAGGAGGCGCTCCCAGATACGGAGTTGGTTTTGGACGCTCATTCCCTTTTGGATTTCGGCCTGGTGGTTGGTTTTGGACATTACATCCGAGGGTTTAATGGTGTCATCCTCTGCCTCTTCGTCGTCTGTATCATCATCCTCCTCCTCTTCACTGCCATCTTCATTGGATCCAGAACCACAATCCTCCTCTTCGTTTCCAGCCTTTAATGTTTGATTAAAGTCCACCAAATCCTCATCTTCATCTCCACTTTCGGAATCTCCAGTAGCTTGCTCCTCTTCACTGGTCTCTCCTGGGCCATCAGCCTGTAACTTCAGCTTAAAGTCAGCCAAGTCCCCATCTTCCTCCTCATCGCTGTCCTCATAGGACAGTTCCTCATCCTGGTCCTCCTCGTCCAGCTCCCTGCGACTGCTGATCTTGCCCTTGTACCGATCACTCTGCTCGGAGAGCAGCTTGACGTTCCGCTTCCTAAAGTCGGTGCTCCGCGCATCCGGCAGGTCGTACTCCTCCTCCTCGAAGTCCACCAGACGGGGTCCAGTTCCATTGGCCACGTCGAAGTCCGAGTCCTCCGCACTGTCGCTCTCGTTCGGATGGGCCAGCAGTTTGCTGACCTTTTCGGCCACCGTTTGTGGCTTCTTCTTTGGTTTGCGCAGCATTTCGTTATAGTTTCATTTATAAATTGAAAGTGAAAGAGACCTGGTTTTACCACATGGGACTGGACAGCAGAGTGTGACCGTTGGCGGAGAAAATACCTGTTCCAAACATAAGAAATAAACGGCTTGTGCTGCTGGGTAGGCCATTTGAACGTTTCGGTATTTTTTGAAAATCAACTGTTTGAATATGGGTATTTCTACAGAAATATCTCAAAATATTCAAAACTCCACTGCATTAAATATTGGAGCGATACATTTTTTTATTTAAGCAATTTACTTATTAGTTACTGTTACTGTATAGTGAGCACATATTAAGTTTAATTTTCTGATTATATTATAAATTTTCCTGAGTTTATACAACTTTTGGTAAAAAATATGAATTGAGCCGAAAGTGGTAAAAAACTAACTGGTGTACGACCAAAATTTTAAGATTTTTTTGGTTTTATACTTTTAACAAAAAGCCGACAAAAAATAGCCGAAATCTAAGCATTTTTATTATCTATGAGGTGTTTAATAAAATTTACTCCGACTTAGAAATGCCTTTGTTATATTGATTAAAGAAATAAGTTAGTTTCTAAACCCTGCAAAAAAAATTGCAATTAATTAATTAATTAAATTATATTTTTTTCAAATTTACCAGAAGCTGAATTTGCATCGAGTCGGTATTATCAAGAATCTAAATCAATAACAACAACACCTGTGTTACAAATTTGACCTCAATGTTTTTTTTCATTATAGTATTATAATTTCAGTCAGATGTTGGCTACGCATTGAAGGATATATTTCCGACCTTTTAAAGTATAGAATTATATTTTTGTATTTTTAAAAATTATAATGATGATTTTAAAGATTTTTTTTTCATAAGCTCGAAAATATTTTTTTTTACGCAATTTGTTAAATTTATTTTTTTTTTTTAATTTTTTTGGAATAAAAGCTTTGAGTAATGATAATAGCTTTTCCACTGAGATAATGTTTTCTAAGACACCAGATACATCCAGATGATATTTTAACTTGCTACAGAATTGTATAAAAATTTAAATTTTCATGTTTTCTCTTAGTTTATATAATGTGAGAATAAATTTGATAAGTTAAAAAAAAATCGATCAAAAAGTTTCCCACTTAGATAATTCTTTTTAAGACTACAATTAAGAATGACACTAATCCAGTGAACATTGTAAGTGGTGAAAATATTATCTGTAAATTAAAAAGTTTTTGGCTTCAAGTGTATTTTTATTTGTTGTATTTATTCATTTTTTTTATTATCCTGGCGTTACAAGTATAATATTTTTATATTAATACAGTCACAGGCCTTAAGTGTATCTTAAAATAAATTGAATAAAAGACAAAAATTAGTAAAAATTAAATTATTTTTGTTGTCAGAACTCTAACCAAAAAATTATATATAGATCAAATGTCATATATGTTAATAATTTGAAGAAAATTGTTTCTATACTTTCCGAGTTAAAGTTTCTTCCGGTTTTAAAAACGTGGTTCCGAGACAGTTGGTTCAATGGTTTTAGTCAATCAAATTATTTTACAACTCCAGCTCTTAACCTTGTTAAACCATCAACTTCAAATCGTTGCTATTGAGGTTCCCACCGAAGCAGCAGATATAAATTGCGGATTTCCGCAAAGATTGATTAAAGATCAATCACTTATTGCCGCATTAGGAACTTATCTTGTGTAAACTCCACGGCATGCATATTTCTGGACTCTGTTACAGAGAGTGAGTGTTCTTGTTTTCGAGGGGAGTTCAGGGGATACCATCAACCTCCATATGAGCATCAATTCAGAGACTGATATTGATGACGCTATTGAGATTTCCTTGCCAAACTGCGAAGTACTGCTGCCGCCCGTTCTTATTGGCCTGCGGCTGACCCCATCCGTATGCTCCACGAATTTCACCTGTGGTGTTAGGTATCCTCGAACTCAAGAAATTATTGTGTACGGAAGAAATCCGGATAAAGACGACCTTGCTGACACTAAACGATTACGAGTCTTCACATGATCAACAACTTAAAGCTAGTTCATTAGCATAGGGACATTGCAGCATTCCCAAATTGGAGGTTGAACAACAGTTTACTATACCACTAACCATACAAAATATGTTGTATGGTTAGTGACTATAACCAGCCTTTTATAGGCACGAACGCTGCATACTTTTCGGCATAAGATTCATGAAACTTGTAGTGTAAATTTAAAATTGTTTGTCGCACTTTAAGCTGCACTTTTCAGCAGTTAATGCACATGCTACGTGACCGCTCATTAGAGCCGACCGACTGGCGTCTTATCAGTATCTGGTGGGCCAGGTGCATCTTGATAAGACCCCACACACGCCACATTTGTAGCATACAATAGTGCGCGCCTGAACTCGAACTTGAAATCCTTTTGTCCGCCCTGTTGCCCTCATTAAACTTAATGAACCGTTTGGTCGAATTGCGATTCGCATGGCCGGTGCACGGTTAAATTGTAAGCCTTGGCAATGGACTTGCGGCAGATGCCAGTGGAAGCTCGACGGGATCGGAGGTGTCGCAATCCGGGAAAAGGATATATTTTGCGCAGCGCACTGCGTTCCAGCGATAAGGCCCATAAGTAATTCCAATTCAATTACTTGTTCTGGGCGAGACGCTACTCACACGGCTGATAAGGGATCGCAACATTTGGCGATCAGACGGACCACCGTTTGAACTTTGAGTCGTGTACACGCATTGATAAACGTGAAATTTATGCGGGCGGGACCTGCGAACACACTGAAGCACTGGCTATTAGGGTCGCCCGCTGTTATCGCCGTGCCTAACTTTAATACCCGGTACTCGAAAAGCTAAAGGGTATGTTGTAATCGCGTTGAAGTTTGTAACAGGGACATAAATCGAATTTTTTGTTGAAATCATTGGAACACCTTAATTTGCAGTGATAATAACAGTTATTGACATGTGGGTCAAAAACAACAGTTTATTTTAACTCGAAACGTTTTTGAAACACTCAGCTCACTTATGTTATTAAAAACACAAAAGTAAAAAACATTTCAAATAAAACAAAAACATTGCTGTCCAAAAATAATTGCCTAACTTGATTACATTTCAATCAAATAATATTATCCCCAAGTGTTTATTTATCACCTTAAAGCTTTTATCAATGGTGGTTAATGTCGATTTCTCTTGCTGAAGAATTCGCGGTGATATTTTTTAAGTGGATTCATCAAGGGCACTGCCCAATTAAAGCTAGCCAAAATGTTAATGAAATCTATTTTGCTATAAAAAATTCGGGATCTCTTTTTATTAAAGAGTTCATGTTTAACAAATTCTATTTCTTAATCTATCCGTCTGTGCAAATAATTGAGCTACTGAAATGAGATTAAATGTTTAATATCGAAAGTTATAAACTCTGTAAACATTAGAGCTGATCCAAGGATGGGATCTTTGTTTTTTAAGTTTTATCTGATCGAATATTAGTCGACTTCCATAGCTTTTCAACTAGCTGGGGGTGTCAAGAAGTATGCAATAAAAATAACAGTAACAATAACAAGCTGAAGGCCGGGTATTCGATGGTCGGGACTTCAAAAGTCCCTACTTGCTTCGCTCTTCTTCCAGCTGGGTTATCAGTTGTTGTCGAGATTTCGATTTAGCGGCATCAGCATCCCAGGCAGACGATTCAGTCAGTTCCTGCTCGCTGATCGGCGTGAATGTGAGCCTGCAGTACCGTTAAGAGGCTTTCGTGTCATCGATAGCGATAATTACGCGCGTGTAGGCGTGGGCGTGGGCGGGAGGCAGTGAGAACGCTGTATTCGGTGTCTGTTGGGAGGTGTGTGCAAAAAAAGAATAAATTCCGAATGGTTTTCGAACTTCTCAGGTTGAAATCTGCTATACCCATATAGTATACGCCAGTTCACGGCGTGGCCGCGTGTTTAGAAAACGAAAAACAAAACGGAAATCAGAAAAGGAAGAAAAACAGAAAACAGAAGAAATATAGTTGTATATAGAAGAAAAGAAATTGTACGGCACGTAGGCGTTCTCGTAATCAATGATTACGCCTACAATACGTATATATATTCGAGTCTATCGATTAGCTGGAAAATGAGTCTGTAACCTCTGAGGGGTGCCAGCCCTCCTAGGTAAAATAGGGATTCTGTGATCAAGAAATCGAAAACATCAATACTTTGTTGTTTTCAAGGTTCTTAAAAGCGTTTCGGAACCATATTTCGCTCCCTTTGATTCCTCTTTTATTTAGTAAAAAATTTGTTTGAACACATTAAAACACACCGAATTCAAAAAGGCATTAAAAGCGGCGCGTCTAAACAAACAGCTCGTTAAATAATTTGACTGAAGGATTAATGTGAGAACAATTTGTTGGAGCTTTGTTGCTATTGCCATTTAATTGAGTGAACTGTAGTTCGATTGAGCGAAATTGATTAACAGATTATTAATCCAGCGGGAGCGTAAGATGCTCTCCGATGTACTTAAAGTAGTATCAATTCTAGAAAATACACACAGACGGAGAACTCAGCATAAGTGGAATTTTAATTATCAATTGGAAATTATAAGATTCCAATCCGGTGCGAGCGTAAATAGTTCAAGGTCATCGCTAGCTTTAGCGCCACAAAAGCGGTGCAACAAACAAAAGCATAGCCATAATAAACATGTTCTTGAACCTACAAATTCAAAGCATTCGAAAAAGTGTTCATTATCAATTGAGTGTAATTGATTCGTTTAATTGAGTGAGTGTCTGTCAAGAGAATATAGGGATTTCTGTTTGTGTTGTTCGTTATTCGATTATCTCAACCAACTGTGTGCCAAGCGTGTCTATTAAAATAAAGCAAAGTCAAGAATACACATACGTATTTCACAAATTATTGACCAGCCCCCAAACCTCAGTGATTAAGCATTAAAATTTAAACTTCTTATAATTGCAATCGTAAAGCACAAGCGAGCTTGAATATTAATAAACAATATCAAGAAATGACGAATTAACAAATTGTGTAAAATAAAACGGTGCAAATCAAAAATATTAATATTTTATAATCAAATATAAAAAACTAACAAAAACACCTCCTAGCGAGGCAAGAAAATTGAGACGATCGCACCTTCGACACCCATTCCTAGTAT